CGACGCCGGCTGGAACCGAACCGAAGGGGGTTTGGATCCTCCAGGCCCCTCTCCTGTTCACGGCCCATTTTCCTTCAGCTCTGCTTAATTTCACCGCTGGGCCCGGGGGGCGAGGCCTCCCAGCCCCGATTCCAGCCCCACCATCGGGCTGCTCCAGGGAACCTGATCTGCAGGGAGCTGCCCGTGGGTGGGGCAGCAGCGCCCCCACCTTACCGATTCATGGGAGGTGAAATTCGAGACACTTTAAAAGACTTTTTGGCAATAGCGACTGGGCCCTGGCGTGGCGGGCGGCTGTGGGCTCTGACGCGAGCCTCCCGGGTGCAGGGTTCTCGTCCCTTCCCCTGAAGCATTCGTGGCCCTGCTGGAGGGTGAGCCGGGCTGGAACGCTCAGCCCGTTTTTACAGGGGTCTCGGCCCCTTGAGAACCAACCGGGACGCCACCTCCTCTGCCAGCTGTGTGTGGGTCTCCTAGCCAGCCTTGGGCTCGCCGCGGGCTCTCACCCTTCGCACAGGGCGCTGGCACGGCCAGTCGCGGGCCACTTCTCTGCCAGGCTCCCGGCCCGGGCCGAGGAACGCACATGTCGCACCTGATTCACAAGGGCCCGAGTGAGGCGCCCGGGTTCCTCTTGCTCTGCCGCGGTCTGGGCCTTGTTTCCTGAGTGCTCGCTGCGTCTGCGTGAGCATCTCACGGGCAGAACCAACCCCCCGGGAGTCGCTTCCACCTGCCCCAGGTTCAAGCCTGGCCAATGGGGAGCCTTTTCCAAGGCGCAAGCAAGGGCTGGATTCAGGAGCTCTGGCTGCATTGGGCCCGACCCTGGTGTCAGAGATGACCAAGGGCCCTGCCGGGAGCTGCCTGAGCCGTGGCCGCCCTGCATGGGAGCCGGTCAGTTCTGCAGCCCTGCCAGGTTCAGCTCTGCCCGAGCACGGACTCACTGCACCCAGGAGGTTGTGGGGGCAGGCGGGCGCGGTTCAGGGGACCCTCCTCGGGCTCAGGAGCGCAGCGTGGAGCTGGCCAGTGGGGACGGGCCCTTCCGAATCCAGCCGCCAGGGGTTCTGGCTGCCCTCAATAGCGCTGGGTCGCACCGGCAGGGCAGAGGCCAAGCGCTGGAAATGCGGCTGCCCCGGCTGAGCCACCGGCTCCGAGCCTTTGGTTCAAACCTCGGAGAGCAGCTGCCACAGGTGCTAGTCCCTGCCGGCCATTCCCGGCCAGCCCAGGGCCCCGCAGCGGAACTGACAGCGGCACTCAGAGTCCCCAGCCAAGATCTGGGCC